TTCTTCTTCTTCTTCGTCTTCGTGTTCTTCTTCTTCTTCTTCTTCTTCTTCTTCTTCTTCTTCTTCTTCTTCTTCTTCTTCTTCTTCCTCTTCTTCTACTCTTCTTCTTCTTATTCTTCTTCTTGCTGTTGTTGTTGTTGTTGTTGTTGTGCAGGTCGCCAGCGTGCAGCACGGCTATGGCGCCCAGGTAAGTACCGCTGACGCAGGTATGGCCTCCGCCCCTCTTCTACTTCTTCTTCTTCCTCTTGTTGTTGTTGTTGTTGTTGTTGTTGTTGTTGTTGTTGTGCAGGTCGCCAGCATTGAGTGACCAGGTAAGTACCGCCTCCACCTCTCTCCTTCTTCTTCTTCTTCTTCTTCTTCTTCTTCTTCTTCTTCTTCTTCATCTTCTTCTTCTTCTTCTTCTTCTTCTTCTTCTTCTTCTTCTTGGGCAGGTCGCCAGTGTGGGGCACGGCTATGGCGCCCACTTAAGTACCGATGACGCAGGTTGAAGCACGGCTATGGCGCCCAGGTAAGTACCGCTGACGCAGGTATGGCCTCCGCCCCTCTTCTTCTTCTTCTTCTTCCTCTTATTGTTGTTGTTGTTGTTGTGGTTGTCGTTGTTGTTGTTGTTATTGTTGTTGTTGTTGTTGTTGTTGTTGTGCAGGTTGCCAGCGTTAAGCACGGCTATGGCGCCCAGGTAAGTACCGCCTCCGCACCTCTTCTTCTTCTTCTTCTTCTTCTTCTTCTTCTTCTTCTTCTTGCTGTTGTTGTGCAGGTCGGCAGCATGGAGCACGAGTATGGCTCCCAGGTAAGTACCACTGACGCAGGTATGGCCTCTGCCCCTCTTCTTCTTCTTCGTCTTCGTCTTGTTGTTGTTGTTGTTGTTGTTGTGGTTGTTGTTGTTATCGTTGTTGTTGCTGTTGTTGCTGTTGTTGTTGTTGTTGTTCTGCAGGTCGCCAGCGTGGACACGGCTATGGCGCCCACGTAGTTACCACTGACGCAGGTATGGCCTCCGCCCCTCTTCTTCTTCTTCTTCTTCTTCTTCTTCTTGTTCTTCTTCTTCTTCTTCTTCTTCTTCTTCTTCTTCTTCTCATTCTTGTGCAGGTCGCCAGCGTGGAGCACAGCTATGGTGCCCAGGTAAGTACCGCTGACGCAGGTATGGCCTCCGCCCCTCTTCTTCTCCTTCTTGTGGTTGTTGTCGTTGTGGTTGTTGTTGTTGTTGTTGTTGTTGTTGTTGTTATTGTTGTTGTTCTTGCTTCTTGTTGTTGTTGTTGTTGTTGTTGTTGTTGTTGTTGTTG